CCTTATTTCTGAAGTACAACTACAGCGTGGTCACAGAGGCCTGATGCATGGCAGTTCAAATTTATCTATGTTCCTCTCCATTCTTTGCAGACATTTTAATTTTCTCATTTTCCTCTGGACCCAACCTTCAGGTTGAAGACTTGACATCACAGAAGCAGGACCTGACAGAGGGTTTTATTTCTCCAGTTGTTGTCAGACCACATTCACACACCTAGGGTAATAGAGGCTGCTGTGTTTACATACTTAGTTCTCAATTTTCACTTTCTCTAACATAACAATTCTCAGATTTATAACTTCCATAGATGGTTGACCAATGTAATTTGATTCAGAGCTATATGGGATACTGTATATAGTTCTGCATGATTTCAGTAATGAGTTTATTTAAAAGCACAGGATTTGGAATATGTGTTTTTTATAGATAAAACAAGGTAAAATGTAATTGCATTTTATCTACCAATATATAATGATAAGCAGTACTGTTAGGAGTGATGATATACACAAACTTGCTTATGCATGGGAGTGTGACTATACAGTGGCTATTGATAACTGGCTAAAGAAAAAGTCATAAAAATTAAGTCATGTTTTATTCATGAATTTGCCTATTTATTTAATGTGTAGTTATTTAATGCCTACTATATTTAAAACCCTGAGATAAGAGCTCGGGACAGTGAACAGGGCATGCATAGTTTTTACTTCCAGGGAGTTTTATTTTAGCCAGGGAGATAGACATTAAACATGAAAACAGCTATTATTTGATTGTAATTATAAAAATTGCATTACAGTAGAAGTACAAGGTGCACAAAGACTAGAAAATAGGGCACTGGCTAAGGTTTATACAGTGAGTGATACTTGCAGGAACCCAAGCCTTCCTAATATTAAGGGGGAAATTTTACTAAGAATGTCCTAGGCAAACAGAATAGCCAAGCCTTCAGACAGGAAAGAAGTGTGATGAGATTGTGGACCTGAAAGGATGTTAGAATTAGAGTCCAGAGTGCTTACTAAGGCATACAAGCTCCTGCCTCTCTACACTTCATCTCATTTCAGAAATCTCTACCTCCCTACTGGAGTCATAAACGTACAGGTGGTAGGTCAAGCCACATGATTGCTGAAATTATCTAGGAATGGTAAAAAGAAAACTGGGAGAATAACAGAACCTTGAGACCTCTTGACACTCAATGTTTGGTTAAGAAGGATACTCCAGCAAAGGAGACTAAGAATAAGCACTCAGAGTGGTAGGAGGAACATCAGAAGCCAAAAGAAGGAGGTGACCAGACATGTCAGATGCTGCTGAGAGGTAAAACAAGTTGAAGTCTGGCCGGTTATAGGCCAGATTGAAGTTTCTGAACAGAAATGGATGCTGGGTAGAGAAGAAAGGAAAAAGAGCAAGGGGGTGATGGATATAGAGAAAGTAAAGGGATTAGTGGATCTCAGATGCCAGTGAAGTCCACAAATAGCCTTGGCAGAAATTGTGGAAAAAGCAGTCGTGGAGAAGGTGATTTGGCTGGAGTGGAGGGAATAAACTTGAGGATAGGAGAAGAAGTGAAAGAGGAACATACTTAATATTGGAGGTGGAAACATTTCAGCTGATGATAGACTTCAAATGTGATCTTGGGACTGAAAGCATGAGTTAGAAAGAATGAGAAGTTCATTTGTAATAAGGAGATCCAGGGATGAATAAGATAGAATGTTTATGTAGATGTGGATATTGTCCAAGATCATGGCGATGCTGAGGCTACATCAGATGCTGGACAACAGTCCAGGTGCCAAAGACTTCTTTTGAAAGATGCAT